GCTCTTTCCTTAAATAAAATGATTAAATCAAAGACTTTAGTTAATTGTTCTAACGTTGATCCTAACGTTGTCACAACGTTCCTGCGAGTTCACAAAATAACGTTACTGCAACGTTAATTTTCAACGTTTTCTGGACGTTAATCAAACGTTGCAAGAACGTTGAACCAACGTCGTGTTCTAACGTTAATCAAACGTTGTAAGAATGTTGAACCAACGTCGTGTTCTAACGTTAATCCTGACGTTGTCACCACGTTCCTGCGAGTTCACAAAATAACGTTACTACAACTTATAATACCAACGTTATCTCCACGTTCGGCGAACGTTCGTACAACGTTGGCACAACGTAATTGTGCTAGCTGGGTACTCGGATCTCAACCAGCCAAAATTGGAACAAATCAGAAGAAAACGCTCAAAGATAGCTCACTACAGAAATTAAATCCCGAGTTAAAAGATGGCACGCTGGTGGTTGGTGGGCGACTGAAGCACGCAGGAGTGAATGACGAAGCGAAGCATCCAATAATTTTGCCGTATACGCATCGAGTGACTGACTTGGTTATCGAGCAGGTTCATATTGAAGTCGGACATATGGGTCAAGAATCGGTACTTTCGGCTTTGAGAGAGCATTATTGGATTGTGAAAGGAAGATCGGCAGTGCGACAAGTTATCTCTCGCTGTTTGGAATGCCAGAAAGCAAAGAATAAGCCTGGGGCCGGTTGTATAAAACTCTTAATCACTTTTTAATCACTATTCTGTTGTTAAATAGTGATTAACTCTCAAATACGCGCTTCTTATTGGATGACGTTTCCACTAACTATAGTTAACTTTAATCACTTTTTTATACAACCGGCCCCTGGAAAGCAACTAATGGCAGATCTCCCTGAAGAGAGAGTGACCCCATACAAACCACCATTTACCGCAACAGGAGTGGACTATTTTGGACCTTTGGAGGTGAAGCAACGAAGAAGCAAAGTAAAACGGTATGGTTGCATATTTACTTGCTTGTCGGTGAGGGCTGTCCACATCGAGATAGCCCATTCGTTAGACACTGATTCAATCATCAATGCCTTGAGAAGGTTTATCTGCCTACGTGGGTGGCCAGAGGTAATTCAAAGTGACCGTGGAACAAATTTTAAAGGTGCCGACAAGGAGTTGACAGCTGCAATACAGAAATGGAACCAAGAGAAAATCGAGAACTTTTGTAACCAAAAGGGTATTCAGTGGCTATTCAATCCACCAGACGCAAGTCACTTTGGTGGAGTTTGGGAACGGATGATTATATCAACACGCCAAGTCTTGCGAGCTTTATAATGAAAGAACAAGTGGTATGTGATGAAGTTTTGGCGACAGTTATGTCAGAAGCGACGAATATTCTGAACAGCCGTCCACTGACGCGCAACAGTGATGATCCAAGCAACGAACAACCCATAACACCCAATCATCTACTAAAATTGAGACCATGTCCCACTCTACCACCTGGAATTTTTGATGATTCAGATCTACACACTCAGCGCCGTTGGAGACAAGCCCAATATATGGTGAATGTGTTCTGGAAGAGGTGGTTGAAGGAATATCTTCCTTCTCTACCAGAGCGCCAGAAGTGGAATAACAAGCAACCAAACTGGAAAGTTGATGATCTAGTGCTGATTATGGATGGAAATTATCCTAGAGGACAATGGCCTGTTGGCAGAGTGGTGGAAATCTTCGCGAGTGATGACGGATTGGTACGGACAGTTAATGTAAAAACAAGTTCGACTGTTGTTACACGGGCGAAGCGGCAACGTCGTGGTGAATTGAAAACAACGAGCACAATCCTTACTCGTCCAATACACAAGTTATGTCGGTTGGAACTGGAATAACATTGTTGAAGAGACTTTGATGTTGATATATTAAGAACTACTGACAAGTTGTTGTTTGTCACTTTGTAGGATTGGTAGCACTAATTAGATTAAATGGACAAACTCGTCCATTTAGGGGCCGGTGTAGCTACCAATCAGTATATATATATAGAGTTCAGTGGGAAAGCCGCCCCATAAAACATTTCGGGTTTTGGACGGCCATATTGAATTTTGAACACGAGAAGTAAACATTTTGAGTATTTATAGAACATATATTGAGGATTTTGTTAGTAGAAACTTGCTTTATTGAACGACCGATACAGTCGGTAAGTTTTTGAACACTTATTGTTGACAATTTTAATGTATTTGTATATTAATTTTAGTTTAACTTGCAGAAAACCTGCTGTTTATATTGGTGGAAATAGTAATATACGATATAAAGTGGAAAATAATAGTGGAAAATTGGCGTATATTTGTTGAGTTTTGACTATCGATCGTACGGGCATAACACAAAGTATGATATGTCAGTCAGAGTCTCGGTGCTCAACTATCGGTGTATTATTTGTAAAAAGTGTCGGTAGTCACAATGGTGACAATAACATTTGTGTGGTTAATCTGGTTGACGCAGAGAATTTAATTGATCTCCTGACAAACGGCATGGGGTTGTAGCAAAGGTCTTTCATGAATTCTAAGACAGCCCAGTTGCCAATTGTATTGAACCAAAGCTATTAGACAGGGTACAATTACAGCTTTTTTTCAAGATATCATTACAGTATATACTATAAGATGCAACTGACACATTAAGTATTTCAGAAAAATGTTTACCCTAAAATTATTAGTGACTTGTGCCATGACTAATATTATGTTACAGCTTTGGTTCAAATTTCATAAATCATGAACCGATGTACAGTAACTGCAAATGTAAAAAAATAGGTCACAGTCACATAGTCACATATCACTGATATAAGATTCATAGTAAATTTGTTGTTTCAAGATCACTGTATATTATTTCTCATGATTCAGGATTAGTACCCCCCACCCCCTTCCAGACAAACAGAAATATAGATGATACATCCCACAAAATAAATATGAAATTAACTCACACACACAAAGGTTTCAAGATACTGTGTATAATTTCATTCACAACTGTATTTTAAACTACATACATACGAAAACCAACCTGTCACTCGACCAGTGAATTGTTTCAAAATATTCTGCTTTGATAACTACATGTTTAAATACACACATGAAGAATTTCGTTTCCATAGATGTCCCCTCTATTTATCCTTCCATAAAAGTACAATAAAATCCCAAGTGATATTCTTTGGTCAATACATAAAAATTACTTATAATCAACAATGTTTATTTAATTCTTTATAAAACGTCGCACACAAGCAGCTGCATTGGATACAAAATAGACAGTTTAAAGCAGGGCCGCCCAGAGGTTGGCGGGGGCCCGGGCCAAATTTTTTTTAGGGGCCCCTATCTAAAAAAAAATTTCCCGAAAAAATTTTTTTCCGGATAACAACCTCCCCCCACCCCCCCGTCGCCAAAAAATTTTCGATCAGTGTACCATTTTAGGGGTAAAAATATTTTTCCGGAGTACGAAATTTTGCCGGACGAGTACGTTGCAAATGCTTTCGAGGGACTTTATCTCATTTTTTTATGCCAAAATTCGGTACTGAGTCCAAGAAAACAGATATCTTGTCCTTTGCGCGGAAATATTTAACACACAAAAAAGGCTGGGGCCCTACAAAAAATTTTCAGGGGCCCCCAGCAACTCGGGGCCCAGGGCAATTTGCCCCCTTTGCCCCTCTGTGCGGCCCTGGTTTAAAGACAGATCACTCGTGACTCGACTAGTTTTCGCTCAGTTTCATCTTCGTCCTTCGATCTTTGATAAGTATTAGTACCGTTAGCTATTCCACAAGTTGTTGAAAAGAAAGTTCGTAGAATGCATAGATAATATATACCCACTCTTCAATCTCACTAGGAAAGTTTTATTTATCATAATATTATAAAAACTCGAAAACGTCGCGCCTTCGCGCTGCCATGTTTGATAAAATCAATCGGCTCCGCTCCCCCCGGATTGAAAACTAAATTATTACGAAATGTCCAATATTTTTGGAGTCACATGACCAGTGTTTACCAGGGCCTTTGCTTCCCTTTCCCGTACCAGAGCCTCTGAACCGCGCAAAGGCCCTGGGTACGAGGTTGCTGGTAGCCTGCTATTAAAGATGCGGTACAGTCCGATCTGCACAATGCACATGTGCAGAAAGGAGCCCTCTTTTTATTTACAAACAGTTTATTTAGGTTTTTATTTCATTTTATGTTCTTGCAAAGCTTGATTGTTGTCTCTTGATAATTTATTATACACTAACTCTAGAATCATGAAAATATAAATAGTTGTCGAATAAAATGCAATATTTTGGATACCGAAAAGTAAACAAAGCCTTTGTTTACATACGGACTGTACCGCATCTTTATTAAAAGTTAATATATACAGACAACAATCCCCACTCTGGGTTTGTTTTTCCCCGCGTTTGTTTTTAAAACGCGGTGCTGAAAGCACCATTGCTATAAACACCATTGCTATAAACATCTAAAATGAACACTATATAAAACTCATCGCCACACAAACAAATAAACTCAAAGTACATTTTCAAGCTCCTTGTAGGCTTGTATACAAAATAAGATAGATGTCATTATTGACATCATGAATCATATGTTTCAATACCTCTGTATCGAATGCTATAAAGCAGCAGATCTAAATGCCTTCATGTATATCACCAGAAAGAAATAAAACCATTCCTACCTGATTTATTCTTTGATATTCGTTTGCAATCAACATATAAACTCATATGATTTCGTATTAAAAGTTTAATTAAACTGCATGCACAAATGCACAATACAAAATAAAGTTTGACCGCCCCCCTCGTTAACAAAAATTTCCTGAAGCTTAATTATTCCTCCCGGAAATCATCTTAACAGCCAGCCAGCCAGACACAAATCGAGATCTCGACAATACATAGATCGCGCGAAAGACTGGGTCGAGTGGACTCTGGAGAAACCACCGCGTGTCAAGAATAGGGTGCTGCTTTCGACAGCAATAATTGAATAGAATTATTGACTAACGTACTTAGATTTAATGATTTACAAACCAGTAAAGGAATGAAATTTACCTCAACATCATCACTCCCATCTTCATCCATATTGCAAATTCAACAAGGTCACAAAGTAATGGTCGCGCGCAAATGCAGCAAATTAGGCGGGAATTTCCGGTTTTGGTTGTTTCCGGTTTCGGTCGTTTCCGGATTCGGTCGTTTCGGTTTCCGTTCTTTACAGAGACCCCTTGAAAACAATGTATTGAACTAACAAATTTAAAGTGCTTAATTTTATCACATTTGCACTTGGCCGCTTTCACATAATTAATGCAAAACCCCCAATATGAAATCTAATATATCTTCTCAGGAAAAACTTCATCTTCATGATCCGGTTTTGCTTTAATTTATGTTTACAATAAATATTGTACAGTCTTTTAATATAGCTAGTTATTTTTGTACAAATTTGTAAAACTAAATTCTTGTAACATAATCCTTGATTCTTGAATAAAAGTTTGGTAAAATCAGTGAAGGCAATTCTAAAAAACGTTGAATTGTCTTCACAGTGTTGTTGTTTGGTTTTTCCTCTATCTTATCCTATGCATGTGAGTAATATTAAATCCCTTTAATTGCATGAATTGAAATGGACGAATTGAAGATTTGAAGTAGCTTGTACCATCATTTATCCAACGTTTTCCTGCAGGCACAGTATATTAAAGCCAGAAGCGTGCCGCCAACTGACGCTTTTGACGCGGTAGACTAGGATAATAAGTCCTTCGTCTCACAAAAACACTACCACTTTACAAAATGTGGTGTTTTATACCAATGCGCTGACTATAGAGAGTATAATGCTACGTGTACAGACTAAGGTCTGTTTCATACGTCGAATTTCGGTCGCGTCGAATGCAATTCAAACAATAGATATCATCTCATTATCTGTTGTCATTGCGTTCGACGCAAAATTCGACGTATAAAAAGGGCCTAAAGAAAGAAAGAAAGATAGATAAATATTAGGAGGCAAACAAAGTTAATTATTCAATAAACTTTTGCTCGGAGAGAGTACGTTTCCACGTTTGCCAAAAGTGAAAGCTTAGGCCAAGTTATTGATTTTGTGAATATTACCCGCATGTGTCACATTCAAATTAAACATACAAATTAATAAATAACCGGAAAATGAAACTAAACCGCAATCATATTTCAGAATCACACACTGAGATGTAGTTGATTGGTGACGGGTGAAGGTGTCTTGCAACTATAGGTAGCGTGTTGGTTAAGTCGAAAATCGCAACGGGAACTGCGCTTTCAAAGCGCAGTTCCCGCTGTGATTTTAAGCGTGCGGGTTGTAATGTTATATTAAAGTTCCGGTGTCATATATTAAAAAACTCATTAATAATTCATGAAGAAAACACAAAGAAAATATATGTGATACAGATTCATGTTGATTTACATAAACTTTAACTTTGATTTTCTCGGCTTAGACAACGTTTATTTTTAAAATTACTTCGCCAATGAACTCATGAAATGAGTCGTTTTTGTTGCATGCCCATATATGGGCATGCAACTTTCATATAGCTCTAAATTTCGTGTCGTGTACATACGTACGTACGTTGTGCGTTGTGCCGGCGGTGGTAAATCACGTGATAGATTAGTAAAATACGACAAATACCGAGTTTTTCCGACGAGCATTTTCATGTGATGTAAAAGTTGAAACATTAGAGAGGTTAAGATACCCCGGTTTCGGTGTACGGGTACGGGTAGCATGACTTTGGTTAGGGGCCATTCACAAAGGATGTCCGAGCCGAGGGGGGGAGGGGTTTTTGGAAAATCAGGACAAACTCGGGGGGGGAGGGGGGTTTTTAGCAATCCGGATGTCCGAAATTTAAAAAAATTCAAAAACAAATTTCTTTTTCCCTCTATTTTGAGCTGTCCTTCCCATTGTGAAATTGGCATTTTGACTATGCGGTTAACACTAGATTTTGTTTTAATTAGTAATTTATTTGTTTTTGTGTTCACATTTACAGTTATAAAAAAGTTCTAAAAGTAAAAAAGTTTTTT